ATCATAGGGTGGTTCTATTTTTAATTTTCTGAGGAACCTCCATACTCTTTTCCACAGTGGCCACACCAGTTTGCGTTCCCACCAGCAGTGCACAAGCATTCCTTTTACTCTACATCTTCACCAACACTTGTTGTTTCTTGTGTAATTTTTCATATTTGCACATGAAGAAAACACTTAAGAAAAATGGGGGCTATAGCCCGAATTCTTTGTTCTCTTTTAAGCAAAATTTTTCTGAAGGGGTATTTATATTTACTGCCTCTAGTTTTTCCCTTATCACCTCTTAAATTCATTCTCCCACGAACACTCCATTGAAACCGCTGTCCCCAAAGATACCAGGGACCTACCCTCCCCATAGGTCAGTTCTCATTCCACAGCTTAGGTATGTGTCAGGAGCATTTGACAGAGCTGACTACTACTCCCTCTTCTTTGAAACAATGTCTTCACTTGGCTTCCAGGACACACCCTTTCTTGGTTTTCCTCCTCCACACTGGGTATTCCTTCAGTCTCCTTGTCTGGCCCCTCTTCTTTTCTCTGACTTCATAGTCTTGGAGGGCCACCAGGCTCTTTCTCTTTGGGCCTCTTCTCTTCCTTGCTTGCTCCCTTGGTGATCTCACCCGGTTTCATGGCCTTAAATATTATCTATGAGCTGTGAAATGTGTATCTCCAACTCAGATGTCTCTCCTAAACTCCAGAACTTTATCCAATTACCTACTCAATGTTTGAAACCTAACAAGTCCAAACTTGAACTCTCATTCTTCTTTTAAAGCCTGCTCTACCCCCTCAGTTGATGACGACTCTATCCCTAATTAGTTCAGACCAAAAACTTTAGAGTCATCCTTGTCTACTCTCTTTCTTTCTTCACATCCAAATTACGCTGGTTCCTACTTCAATATACCTGGAATCCAACCACTTTTCACCACCTCCACTGCTACTTCCCTAGTCTGAACCACCGTCACGTCTCTCTTGGATTATTGTAATCACTTCCTAACCAGCCTCTCTGCTTCTACCTTTTCCCCCTCACTTCTATAACAGTCTAGCTGCCAGAATGAAGTCAGAGAGATACTCAAAAATGCAAGTCAGATCATGTCACTCCTCTGCTCAGAACCTCACAATGATGCCTGTTTCACTCAGAGTAGATGTAAGTCCTTACAAACGTCTATGCAACCCGGAAGACCTGCCCCCCTATTACCTCCTGCTAACTTCACCTTCACTCATCCCACTCCAGCCATACTGGTCTCCTTGTTCTTCAAATACCCAGTCATGTTTGTTCTCTCAGCCTGGAATAGTTTTCCCAAGAGAGTCACATGGCCCACTCCCTTACCCTCATTTGTTTGCTCCATTGCTGCCTTCTCAATGGGACCTACCTTGCCACCTATTTAAACTGGATTTGCCTTCCTTCTCCATACCTAGCATTCCTGGGCCTCTTACCCTGCCCTAATATTTCCTTTTCTATAATCTTTATCCCTTCCAATATCTATTGAAATTCCTGATTATGTTTATGGTTTATTTTCTGCTTCCTACTTACAATGTAATCTCCATAAGGTACCCCTGTTTGTTTTGTTTACTGATCCATCCTAAGCACCAGATCATTGTCTGACATGTGGTAGGAAATCAATACATATTTTTGAATTAATAACAGTTCAAATCTTCAGAGACTGGAATGACAGAAATGAGAAAAGTCTGTAAAGATCCTATCTCTGTCGATTCAGTGATTTTAAAAGGGATTTTTATCTCTTACTTCCTGATGACAGAAACGAGTATACGACTTTGTAAATTCACATATTAAAAGCACCCACAACAGTTTGTTCACTTCAACTGTTGCTTTTGAAGAACTTGATAAGCATCTTGTCCTGCCATCCCTTCTTTTGTGGTAAAGCCTCCCGTTAAATACTCAAATAACCTAGATACTTGTGCTCTGAAGGCATCAGAAAGGCATTTAGATTAGGGGTAGAATTCATCAGGTTTCCTGGTCAAAACAACACCTCAATATTTATTCAATAGCACCTTTGTTGGATCTACTCCTAGCCCTGCCCGGATAGTCTTCCTGGTGACATTCATAGCACTGTTGGGCGCTTTGAATTTATGTGATCTTCACCCTCAGCTGAAAGTGGGCAGGTTTCTTCCAGCAAGTTGGTTTGTGGGTAAAACCACTGACACCACCGGCCCGGGTCTGATGACCACCAGAGCTGCTAACGCGTCTACGTTAATACTTCCCTCTCTGAGACATTTCAAGAAGTACTTTTCTCGGCAATATGAGGTAGACTACATGTGCTAATGACAAAATTTCGGAGGCTGCTCAAGAGTGTTTTCTGGTAGGCCTAACTGATGACATCATGGGTGCTTACTGAATGTCACATGCTTGGCAAAGAGGTTAGCAAGGGTCATTCATCTCACCGTCCTTTCCATCAGGAGACCTAAAACAGTATAAGCTGTGTTCTCTAGTTTTCACCTGTGACCTTTTTTTCCTACTCCAGGGAAGCCTTAAATGGATTTACTGTAATAACTGTTATGCATATGATAGAATTTATTATGATTACATAATTAATTTTTGTTTTGAAAGGGCGACTGATTTATAATGGCAGTTCTGTTACTTAAAGTAACTTTGATCAAAATTCATCACTCAATTTTTAACACTAGGGTTTGAAATCTCCAATGTGTTTTTTATTAAAAGCATTAGAGGAGTATAATACAATTATAGGAATATGATAATATTATAGGAAGTTTGAATGATTTTAAAAATTACTTGTAATTCCATCTAATTGTTATGATCATTTGTAAATATTTTCTGTTAATCATTTTCTATAAACATGCTGATTATTCCTATAACTGAAATGAGTATCACTGTCAGCGGATGGTGGTGGAAATCCTTTGAGATGGGGACCCTTGCTGATCATTGTGTGTATACCCGTAATGTAGCACAGGGCCGGGTATAGAGAGGTACTTGAAAAATTATTGCCAGAATAATGAATTAGTAAGGGAGTTTGCTGAGGAACAAAGACATGATTAAGTATAACTAACATTGGATTGATTATTTTGTTGATTCACATTGAGAGGCCCAAATCCCAACCCTTGGCAAACATCAGTTGTTCTATGACTTTCTTTTCTGCCTGGATCTCTAGGAGCAGCACAGGAAAAAGGAAATAGTCCTTTGGCTCCTCTTCTCTTGTTTGAAAACAATAGCATTCATTCATTTTACTTCTCTACCCTTTGTCTGCAGATTACTTAGGTCTAAACTGGCCTTAAATCTCTGAAACAGACTGATCCCTCCCTGATCCTAAAATAAAATTGCAAATCAAATTTAGAGTTTGATGTAAAAGCTTGAGAGACACAGGTTTGTTGCTAATTTAGATTACAAATGTCATAAAAAATAGAAACCAAAAAGGTTAGGTAATTTCTAAATTAAACACTCTTTCTTAGAATAATTACTGTGTTACGGCATCTGTGTACTTTGGTAGAATTTGAATAACACTTTATTGCTCCGAATAATGTTCTATTCTTGTCACCTAATAATAGTTGAGTACATGCTCCTGTACTCTGTGACTGCAGGAAGGGTGTTGCCCTGAACACTGACACACCCTCTGCAGCAAGGCTTGGTTTTGCTGGAACTTTCCAGGTACTAAAAATCCCTTTCTCTACTTTCCATTCATTCACATGCAAGAGAACTGAGCTTTACTATTTTTTCTAAATCCAAATAGAAAGAGTCAGGTTCACGCAGTCACCATTAAGGACTGACCAGGGTTGCCTGGAGAATATTGTTTGAATCTTCTTTCCATAAGAAACTGGCTTAAAAAGCATAGGCCCACCAATCAGGATTTGAAAGGCAAGTTACAAATCCTTTGATGGAGTTTTTCAGGCTATCACTGAAGCAATAGAACTGGGAACAGTTTTTTTTTTTTTTTTAGTTGACCAAATACACCTGGTCATTAGGGACATTTCCATTTTGGTAATTTAGCCAGTAGAAGTTCTTGGGCTTAAATAACAGTTTTTCAGAATTTTATGTTTCTAAGTCTGAGTCTGAATTTAAGGAATGCTAGTCTGTCTCCTTTTATACCACAACAGCTATAGAATTCCACAGAATATTTTCTAAAATAACGTGAATGGGTTGTCATAGTCTGGAAGATAATTCTTCGCTAGAACACAGAACTATCTTTATTTGAAGGCCATACGTGGCATAAGCAAACAATGGCTGTGTTCTGTGTGTTTTTTCTGTTACCTTAATGCATTTAAATTTCAATTATGGGAGTACAAGACGTGAGTTGTATTATTTAACTCTCCTTTAAGTTCCTTAATGATGACTGTTTTATTTTTCTTTCTGAGTTCAAAGTAAATCCTTTTAGCTTGAAAGTCTTATGTATTCTAAAAATGAATTCACTATGCAGAGACTATGATCACTCTGCTATTTGTCACTTACTACATGTTCTCCTTTCTTCTGTAGTATTAGAACCTCTGATTTGTAGAACAGACATGTAGCAGTCCAGGAAAAAAAAAAAGGCTACTTTGCAATTTGCCTTGTAAAGGAGTAGGTCAAAGTATTATGTAGCAAGTTCTGGAGCTTTCCTTATATGGTAGTTGTTGTGTACCTCTTGTCCCTTCCTCATCCCTTCCTCCATCCTGCTGCTACAACTGTGGACACACTAACAGGAACTCTAGCTGCCATTTTGGATCATGAAGACAAGGGTGACATAGCTGATGAGTGAATAGAAGTGCCATATCAACTTTCTTACCTTTCCCACTTGATATAAAAGAAAGAGAAACTATCCTGTTTAAGTGACTGCTCTTTGGGGTCTGTTTTTCTCAAATGAAAAATAATCCTAATGTACACAATCGCCTGTACTAGAAAGTATTGGATTATTTATTTAATCTGACATAAAGAAATGAACATACTATAGCGGACAGCTGTTGGCTCATCTTTGCAACACTGTTTTCCAGTTCCAGCCCCCTCTCTAACCACCATCTACTTGGTTCTAGTGAGAGTTTCCAATTCCAGAGCATGATCTTACCTTTGATTGAGGAAGCTCCCCTGACCCACTCTGGGCCAATGAAAATCTTTCTCTAGGAGCTAAAAAATATGATAGAGAAAAGGAGATTAGTTTCTTTCAGTTATAAGACCATAGTAATAAATATCTGAGTTATTGGCAGCTCTATTTTCCACCACGTTTTGGGAGAAGTGGAAGAAACAGGCTTGATGAGAAAGAACAGTGAATCAGAGTCAAAGAGGGAAGTAGAGATATAGAAGTGGAAGGTTGGGATGATTCCTTGGCTTCCCATACTTTGCCAATGCCTGTTACTTGCATACTTAACATCTACTCTCTATTTTTCTTTTCTAGACAATACTAATCATGTTCTAGATCCACTCATCCTTAAAAGAGGTTGCCAACTGGTCTAAGACAACATGTGCGTGGCAGTTCTCTGGCAACTGTATTGATCCAGTGATGGGCTTGATCCTGAATTGGCCCAATCTGTTTAAAAATGTATATTCTATATCTAGGGGGGAAGTTACTCTTTCTCCTGCTGGAGATAAACAAGGAAGCACATAGTCCTAATTGCCATTGTCAGCAACCTTGCCACCCTAAGGGAGACCATCCTAGGATGAGGGCAATACTGAAGATGGCAGCAAAAATAATTCCAAAAAACCCCAAGGCTTTGATAGCATTTTGAGCCCACTCTGGACTGAATCAAATATATTAGATAATAAATGATCTATTATAGAATTCAGAGGTAACCAAACTTTTTCTTAAAGGGCCAGATAGCAAATATTTTAAGATTTGCAAGCTATGAAGTTTTTGTTGCAACTAATCCACTCTGCCATGGTAGCTCTAAAGCAGCCCTACCTGATACATATATGAGTGACTATGAATGTGTTCCAGCAAGACAGCTGTCCAGCCTATGGGTTGTCACTTGCTGGCCACTGTTATAAGCTAGCGTGAGTTAATTTTCCATTGCTTGTTGCCAAAATTACCATGTATGATACACAGGTTCTAGTCCATTTCTGAAAGCTGGCTGCATCTTGCCTTTGGAGTCTATGAGGACCTCCAGTGTCCAGAGCTGGTGGCCAAAATACTTAACAAAAGCTACAGTCTGAACACCAACCACTCACATAAACATAGGATGACATTCTAGGGTGAATTGGCTGGATATCATTCTGTCATTATTGTTCTATCAAGTCCCCTTTATGACTTAAACCAGCCAGAGTTTATTTCTGTTATTTGTAAACAAAAGCATCCTCACTATTCTTTTTAGATTTTCATTTGGGGTACTCCTTTAATCATTTTACTCATTTTTAGTTGAGATACTGATCAGTTTTCTGTTATTTCTTTCTTTTTTCTTTCTTTCTTCCTTTCTTTTCATTCCCCATTTCTTTTTGTTTGTTTTTTAAAATTTTTATTTTATTTTAAGTAGGCTCCACACCCAGCATGGGCTTGAATTCACAATCCTGAGATCAAGAGTTACACACTCTACTGACTGAGCCAGCCAGGCACCCCTGATTCTCCATTTCTTTTCTTTTCTTTTCTTTTCTTTTCTTTCTTTTTTTTTGAAAGATTTTATTTATTCATGAGAGACACAGAGAAAGAGAGAGGCAGAGACACAGGCAGAGGGAGAAGCAGGCCCTATGCAGGGAGCCCGACATGGGACTCGATCCCAGGTCTCCAGGATCAGGCCCTGGAATGAAGGCAGCGCTAAACTGCTGAGCCACCCCGGGCTGCCCTGATTCTCCATTTCTTAAGTTCATTATGTCAGTGCCAAGATTATAATACTGATTCTTTTAAAACTGGGTAGTTGAAAACTTTACATGATAATGAGCTCTTTTTTTTTTTTAATTCCTGTAGGCCTTATGATCAATAACACAGGATCTAGCGCCTGACACATGAGGTGTGACTATAAAGTATCAGAAAGATTTTAGCACACACACCACTGCTCAGACACCCAATTTTGTTAAACACAGTTGCAACAGGAAGTTATATTCCAATAATGCCTCCATTTCTCCAAGTGTCTTTGGAATTCCTCCAATCTCCCTCACTTTATTGTAATATCTGCTGTTGATGGAGATTTGTCACATTGTCACCAGGCTTGCAGGCTTGCTCTGGATTCCTGCCATTTGCAAAAAAAAAAAAAAAAAAAAAAAAAAAAAATCAGATCTATCTTAAATATTTGGAATCATTAAGTATTTTCTTTTTCCCTTTCCTTGCTCACATAATTATTAAACACTGAGCTATGCCTAATATGTACCCATCACTCTTCTACGTGCTGAGGACATAAAGTCCTTATTATCAACGTGATTGTAGTTTAAGAGAGGAAAAAGTATGTAAATAAGTTATAATGTAACCCAAATTTGTCCAGGCTTCATTAGTCCATGAGTACAAATATGATCCTCCTAAGAGGAAATAGCCCAGATTTTTGCAGGCTTTTCCCCATTTTCATTTCTAAGAACTTAGCCCCCTGCCAGAGTTTTCACATGGTCTCCCACACTGACTCCTTATGCTTTCCCATTTCAGCACTTGCCTGTTGAGATCTATTGCTTTCCAGACTCAGGGATGCCAAGTGTCTGGCATTTTTCTTTTCTTGCTTTTTGACTTTTATTTAATGGTGGAGGAAAACAACAAAACAATGCTACTTGCTGTACTAGTTTAAAGCTTTTCATATTGTTGGGTTTTTTTAAGATTTTATTTATTTATCCACAGAGAGAGAGAGAGAGAGAGGCAGAGACATAGGCAGAGGGAGAAGCAGGCTCCCTGTGGGGAGCCTGATGCGGGACTTGATCCCAGGACCCTGTGATCACGACCTGAGCCAAAGGCAGACGCTTAATCACTGAGCCACCCAGGTGCCCTTCACATTGTTTTCAAAAAATTCTAGAAAACAACCTCACAGAAGATACACCTCTGTAGTAGGCAGCCTGATGGGCAGCCAGTGTCTCTAGAACAGTTCAGAATTAGGGAATTCTTATTGCTTTCCAGTGTGACCTGCTCTGAAGAGAAGAGTCTAGTTTAACCCAGTAAGCAAATGTAGAACTAAAAGATAGGAGGAAAATGGGCCAGAAGAGTGACTGAGACCATATTTTCTTCTCAAGCTCAGCTGGCTGTGCCTCCTTTTTATTAGGGGTAGATTTTGAAAGAACATAGGTTTCTGTAGATGCCACCTCCTGGTCAGCACACAACAGGAATAAGCTCCCAGAGGGCAGGAGCTTTGTCCATTTCATTCAGTGGTATATTCTTTGGGCCTAGAACAGCACCACTTACTATCAGCTTGACATGTGAACATTGAATGAATGAATGCCAAAATATAGTTAGTTCTCAGTCCATGCTTCACTGCAATCCAGTTGTCTATAATCCATGCGGAAATGGGGAGAATGCCCCTCCCTTTTGCTCTGAGTGTTACGTTTGTTTTCTGGGGACTGATGCAGAGGGATCTGGACCCCTTCTCTTCCAAAGTCCTAGACTATCACAGTCTGTTTCAAATTCCCTCTCAGCTCTGTTCTCTAAGAACTCAGGCCTTGTTCTTAGGTCATTGGTGGGAAATATAGACATATTGGAACCCTAACTATGGCCTAGATTCAAACTCAATTTCCAGACTGAATTATAATACAGAGTAATAAGAGTGACATTACATGCACTTACAAGGATGTAGCAAAGGAGACAAGAAAGCGAAGAGAGCAGGAAATCAGAGGGAGGAGGACAGAAGGTATAGAAAAGATGATAGCTAAAACTTTGCCTGCCTTTTGTTTGCCCTGAAAATTTTGTCTTTGTAACCTGATTGTAACCTCCTCCTCCTTGTTTCATAAATTTCCTCTTTCAAGGTACACAGTAAGTGTTAGTTAAATATGTTGACTGGTTGACAAAAAGAGATTTAAGGCTCTAGTGGAGTCCCATTGCTTTTCCCCGAATATTTGCTTTCGTTATTGATTGCTCTGTGGTCACACCAGGCTATGGGATACTGGATAATGAGTCCTCAATACACCCTCATTTGTTCAAGTCAATAACTAGTTAGAGATTATGCACTGTGCCAAGCACAGTGCTGCATGGAAAGCCACAGAGCTTAATAAGGTATAGCTCTAAAGAACCATGCAGTGTAGCAGCAGAGATAAAGCTTGTCAAATAACTGTAATGTAAAGTACAAAGAGTTCCATCGCGCACGAGAAGATCACTTAACTTGTGATGAGAATATCGAGGGAGCAACAGAACTCCAATTTGCAAGTTCTGAGAAAGTTCCACAGAGGAGCTCTGTGAGGAATATATGAAGAATTTGAACCAATGGAGATGGATGGGGGGGAAGCTTGTAGGCAGTAGGAACTCCATGAACAAATATGCAGAGGTGAAATTCAATCTATAAGGACCACATATCATAGGTGTTTGCAGTATTTTCTCTCATCCTTTATCAGTTATGTGTCAGTCTCTTAAAACATAACCACAGAATAATGGCACGGTGTGGTTTTTTTTTTTTGAGTTTGCACTGATGGAGAGGATTTCACCGAACACTGCTGCTGGCAGTATTTTAAACAAAGGTTAAAGTACCATGCTGCATGTGTATCGTTCTGTCCAATTCCACACGCAAAGTAGATGGCTATTAGACGTTTGTTCTAACCTTGGTCCTGTCTGCCTTATAAATGCTAAAGAGTAGCTGAAATTGAGAATTCTATCACATTAAAGGAATCTTTGCCTATAATTTGTTTATAACACACTCTTTTTTTTTTTTTTATAACACACTCTTGACTAATGGTCAAGCTCAAGCTCCCTGTTCCCTAGGGCTATGCTCCAAGTGCACACACATTCCAGAACGATTAGCCTTTCCCCTGTTGCTGCTAAGAGCCCTAAAAGCCATGGAAATCAATACATAAAATAATTAATCACTGACAGATTAAAACTTTTGATTGATTTCCTCTGAAATGGGAATTTGCATTCCCCTCCTTCCAAGATCTTTGTTTTTTTTAATAAACAACTAGGCAATCAGTTGTGATTTTAAGTTTTGAAATGCATTGGCAACAGTTTTTATGTAACACACAGTAGAAAAATAACAAGAGGCCATGTATAGTTTCAAAGTCTTGCTGGGATGTACAGAGGTGAATGT